TTGAATAATTTAAGTTTTTCTTTTAAGAAACTTGACACTCCTGACACAACGTCGGTGTGAATCCGACTAGGTCTGCAGCAAGGTAAGGTCGACCTCACCAGCTACTCAGCAGGTCCCGAAAAAAAGTTCACACCCAACAGGATTCGATCCCCGGACCGGCGGTTTCAGAACCATACCCCAGCGCTCTCGGCCGACAATTTTGGTTCGGATGAAGCTGCAAGCGGTCATGTCGACTGTAGCTACAACTGTTTAACTACAAAAGGGGCGTGTGGCTAGCAGAACGGATGGGGCAGTAATACATGAAACGTTGTTTTGCGTTGCATTTTAATACAAGCATACAATCAGCTGTAAAATGTAAGAATTCATGCTGTTACTTACATTTACTGTTTTTATCTTGTATATAAATATAAGTTTGACTAGTTACATCAACTTGTTTGCATCATGTACATGTTTTTCTCTTCCTAACTACGACTTAAAGAATACAGGAGCACATTTAAACAATGAAAATAAAAATTTCAAAGAACTCTTGGAAAACACATCCCTGCTAAAGTGAACAAAGTTTAGCCCCACAAACTTTGTTTAAGAAAAAAAACATAATCTCAATTGTTGAAATACAAAAAATGTTGACTTAAATCAGGAGTTTTTAATTCTCTACACATGCAAACATAAAAAGAGTATTAAGGATAAAAGCCAATTCTATCTTTGGGTTAAAAGCACTCTCACAGAAAATGTAGAAGTACTTTGAGTTTCCAACACACACTGACAGGAAAAATACCAGTATCTAAATAAAGGTAATGGCACTACAATTAACGTCTGTGGTCAAAATTTGTCCGAAGAATCATACAAAAATAATGTATTGTGTATTGTAAAGTCCATTGTCACTTTCCGCATATCAATGAAAAGGAAAAATATCAATTTGATTTAGCATTAAAAGCACATCTTGGAAGAAAAGCACGAGTGGAAAGACAACAGTACACAACAATGACAATGATATTGAGTAGATAGAATCCCACCGTTGTCAGACAGAATATATCACCAAAGACAAGCCAAGCAAGCTGTTTGAAAAACAGATCTAAGTTATCTGCTTAAGCACACACTGTATTCTTAAGATTTCAAATGCACTGTCACATCCAATCTAAATATTATATATATGAAAAACAAGTGGTATCTAGAACACATACACAAATAACAATCACAGATTATAATAAGGAAAACAGGTGTTGGAGGGACATATTTAAAACTGTTTGCACATTAATAGACCTAAAAATCAGACACAATTCATAAAGGGACGAAATTGGAACTTTTTTTCATACTAATAGCCTTCTATACTGTTGCCTCCAAAAAGTAGACAATGCCAACCAATGTGAAACAAGGGCACAATTACAACAAGAAATGAAATTTCGACAACACATGTATGGAAGGTTTAGAGCCTCTTTGCTTTAACATAATTAAGTCATGAACGGAAGCCTCTTGAAATTGAGCAATGTCTTCTACAAAACCCAAAAATCATAACGGTACATTATGGCTAGATGTAAAACCTTTAACAGACACAGGAACAAAAGCAGCATAGATAATAAAATATACATACAATTATTACACATACTTCCCTACTATCACAAAGCTAAATCCATTTTCATTTTTCAGTAACAAATTAAGCTATCATTTTTTCCAGAGTCTAATTCCAGTCATGGATCCACATCTTATATACAAATTTACTAAACTGACAACTGACCAATTTACATCTTATGTTGTAGACAGCAGATATTTCTTCAAAAGAAAAGTTTTAATACAAAATAAACAGTAGGAAATATGTACTTGACTTAAACAAACATGATGCATGCCAAAAATATGCACTATTTATCTAAATTCATCTGAATTACTAGATGTTTTAACAGAATAGGAAAGCACATTATTCATTTATTCACTATTCACTGGAAAGCAGACACTAAGAATAAATTTTTGACACAACTTGATTGTTGGTTACAATTCTATTATAGATATCCTTTCTGAGAACATTGTCCCATCCCAGCTTAAAACAATGACAATATCAAAATATCCAGTTTTTTTACTGAATGACAAAAAGCCCAATAGTGGTGTATCTAAGACTCACCAAATGATCTGTTTGGGTCCAACAGAAAATCTACTACAGGAATGTAAAGCACAGCCTCCAAATCCTAAATGTACTGAACATTTTGTTTGAATAACGATTGTTTCTTAGGCATGTATTTCTTACTACAGTAGGTATGTAAAACAAGTTGACTAGTATGCATTGAGGCAGGTTTTTTGCTGTGGCTTTTAATGTTTTGTTACTGAAATCTATGAGATAATATGTATAAGTCACCTTCACTTCTGGAAAGAGCCATAGAGATGATCTATAGTTGTGATATGACCACACTATTAAATATTTGGTCCCAATACAATTATGGGTATTCTTGAAAATTACAACCAACAAATCCTAGATACAGGAGTGTTTTCAGAATAGAGTAATTAAATAATATAGGGTACCACCAATAGTTGGTTTAAAAATAATGACTCAATAAATTTGATGACTGTCACAAATAAAATAGCTCATGCCTGGATTTCAAAGCATACCAGTTGAAATTGATACATTTTCTTTTGCAAGATTTGCCTTTCAGTTGCGTTGGAGTTCAACACCTCGGCAACCAGCCAGCCTTCTGGTATCAATAATATTTTCTTGCATATACAACAATCAACCTTTAAATATACATGTGAGCTGCCAACAAAAATTTACCTATGAACTACCGCAAATAAAAGTAAAAATTGAATAATTACATCCAATATAACTTTTCTGATTTGCCAACTTTATCAGTACAGATGTCAAAAAAAAGAAAAGAAATTGTTAGCTTTCCAGTTTAAACTTTTTACTAGGATTCAGTTGAACAACACTTGGAGTCCCATTGTGATCCATGGCCAAAGAATTTTCAGAATTACTATTGCCATTTTGTAAGTAGTCAGTCTCCGACCCTTTCTGGAATCCAAAATTGAAACATGTTAATTGCAACACTAAATAAAAAGAAAAATAGGAAATACACAACTAAGACTAGGTGCTTACCTCTCCTATGACAGCAATTGGCGTTTCACCAAGTGCTTTGGCTACTCTATGTTCAACCAAATAGAACATGTACTCATCATAGAGCAAACGTATTAAGTGAAATGATCCAAAGCTAGCAGCACTCCGTAAAGTAAGATCTCTTATTACCATTGAGCTGAAATCAATCAGAAATAGAGAAATAGAAACATAAAGAGATGTTTCAATCAATTAGTTCTAATTTAATTAATCAATTTTTTAGAAATCAAAAATGTTAAAGTCTGAAACAACTGCCTAAGAAGGTGTTTCACACAGAGTCCTTTGGTACCTAATGGTAAGTGAGTTGGCAAGTACGCCAACTGGGATTTAAATGATGATGTTCACAGGACATACTAGAGAAACATTAAGAACTTACAAACAAAAGGGCACGCCCATAGGAACACAACCTCAAAATTTGGCTCTACATAGCAACTTATCTACCCTTTGGTACAGAAAGACTCCTAAATGCTAGTTTCAGTTTACTTACTTGTAAAAAGACCATTTGAGAAGAAACTGCCTGGCTGCAGATGAGAAATTAGGTTTGCCTTCATATGGTTTAAGAATTTGATCAACTACTCCTTGAAGCCATTCTGCCCATTGCTCAAGTGAATTCTGTTGTTGCAGAGTCATTTTAAAATCAGTTTCTAACTGCTGAACTATAAGGCTATCACACTGACAAACCCAAGAAGCCTGCAAATATTAAACAAAACGTTTTCAACATGTTTTAAAGGAGCTGTCAGAAAGAAAAACAACATGTACAGGACACGAAAAAGAAAGTTTGATAATATTTATGAATATATGTAGAATATCACACACATCACATACCTGCTCCTGAACATTGTGAAAATCTACACGATTTAGGTCAGTCAACATTTGGTTAATTTGAGAGCTGTTTTGGAGAACTGCACGGGCTGCCTGAGCAAGATGATTAAGTGAAGTGTATCGTCTAAGAGTCTGAGCAAAAGCACCTGCTGCTCCAAGCTGAAAAGAACAGGAAGTTCAGTTTGGTTGATTCATATACCCATGTACTGACTCGGGAACTGACTGCACTGAAAACAAACCTACCTTGATATTTTTCATTTCATCAGGACAACCCACCATAGCAACAGTGAGCCAAGATTCCAACCCTTTGGAGAAATTCCTGATAGCTTGGGTCAAAGCAGCTGGAAATGTGAGGTAAATTTTAGCAATGATATTCTGCATAGATAGGTGACAAATCAAAAATATCAAAATAGTGTAACAAACTTGGAATAGGCCGTAAAACATCTGGGATGAGAACTTCAACCAATTTCTGATAAAAGGCAAAATCAACTGCACGAACAAAATTCTGGATTGGAGTACAATTACAAAGCAAAAACAGCTTTGTTCTAAAGAGAAAAAGAAGATACAGAAAAGAGTTCACAGTAAAGAATTCAAATGAGTTTTCCAACAAATTAATTCAAGATAAAAATGAATTTGACGTACTTTGACAGATACTTCTCTTCTTCACATTCATCTCCATTGTTATTATCTTGACTACGCCAAAACTCACGCCAAAGGCTTTCAACAGTCATGAACTCAAGATTGACTATTGCATCAAGGAAAGCCTGAAAGAATAGGTGTTAATTAATATTAATGTTCACAAGAAAAAAACTGTGATGGAAAGACCAATGAAAAGAAATAGATGAATTTGCCTACTTCACAATGTTCTCTATAAATGCTACGGAATGTATCGACATCTTCCAGAGTACAATCTTCAGGTAGGAGTGAGTGAGAGGGAAATTCAATACGAGGAAAGTCAGGTATAGCTTGTGTACTGTCGCCTAGATATTGCTGATGATTATTCTGATGTGTCTGGAAGAGAAATATCGATGTGCAATAAAACGTCTTGATTCACTTGTAAATATAAATAATTGCCAATATAAATGGAGAAAAAGTTTAGAGAAGTGTCTTACCTGAACTGAGGGTGGACTAGAATGTTCAGAATTTGCAGTACTTTCTGACCTTTGCAGTGCTTTTGTCCTTTTTGAAGCCTGAGATCGGGGAGTCACTGGGGATCCATCATCTGACACATTAGTTAACTGTGACCCAGGCTTAACACGAATACCATAGTAATGATACTTTGAATTGCCCCTAAAAAAAATTAAAATTTGTCAATCAATTGACAACACATAGTAATCTACTAATAATATAGACCAAAGTATGATTTAAAAAGGTAGAACAAGCTTGACAGAAAATAATTCAAATACAGTATACAAACCTTGTGCCTAAGCGTCTGGTACGCAATCCCAAAAATACAGATCGTATGAGTTTTCCAAAAGAAGCAGCATTCACTGGATCAAGTTTGTGATCATTACAGTGGCGGAGGTAGTGGTAATATAATGTAGAGCGAGGCAGGGACACACCCTCAGCTGTTTCATAGTTTTCTAACAGCCACTGAACCTGAAATTTACACAAAATACTGGTAACAGCCGTAGAATTTACAAACAGCTTACAAAAGTCTACTCAGAAATGTACCCTAAAAAACAGCAATATGCAGAATCTTTCAATTCCCACCAAAATCCTTCTACATATTTGTAAAACTATAGAGAGGCAGGTATTAACCTTTCCCTTTTTATTTAGTTATGTAGGCAGCGAGTACTGATTAAATATCAACAATTAATTTGGCATTTTAGAAGCATAAGATGGGAAAATGTGATGAAAACATATCAAAGCACATAGCATGCCAAGGAACTTACAGTGGCAGGGGAGACTCGTGTTGCGTGTGAAAGGTGACTAGGGCCATCCTCATCTAGCGGCGAGTTGTTGTTTAGGTAGGAAACACCTCCGCCATCCTGCTGCACACACATGCCCCACCCATATTCCAGATCCAAACCATTTTGACACACAGCACCACAAATGACATGAGTCCATTAACTGAAGTGATGCATTTGTGCTGATCTGTGTTGCCAATGTGATAAAGCTTTAAAAGCAAGGAAAGTGATAAAGCAGCAGTAGTAAAACTTTTCCATCACCCTTTTATACTTGATTCAAATTAACAAAAGTGCAGTCCTATGTTTTTAACAAGTGCAGTCCTTAACTGATCCACACAAAATAGGAAAGAGAAAAATAATGAAATAATAATAATAAAATTATTATTGATCTTAAAATGACCTTCAATCATGTTTATTACCCCGTAATTGCTTTGAAAGTTATTCATTTCTAGTGATTTTCACTCGAACCATTTAAATTTATTTAAGAACCAGAAGTTTTTCCAAAATCTTAAGAATTGAAAGACAGAAAGGCTAAGATGTGATAAAAAAATTGGTGTTTTGTAATCTGGCTGAGCAAGCGAAGCCATGATAGTCTTGACAAAAAACTTACGGCAGTAACAGTCTGGGGACTAGATCGGTTGCCACTCAGTATGGTGTGCGATGTGTCGGGTTCAACAGGCGACTGAATGATGAAGGTACCAGCAGGAGTATTTTGGGTCAGTATGTGACTTGAGCCCACACTAGTTTGTCCAATAGAGTTGGAAGTCTAAAAAGTAGATATAAAATATAAAAAATTGGTTAAAAACTAGAACAAAATTTGGCAAACTTTTGATTGGAAGGAATAATGACCTGTGAGTAAGTAACAGGTGTGGTGGTACCAGTGTAGAACTGTCCTGATGTAGATTGATAGTCTCCAACATATGTGTAAGCCCTGAAAATTAAAGAGGATCAAATTGATGAGGATCAATTTAGTAAAAAACAAACTATTGCTCTTTTCTTAAAAAATTTTAAGAACAACACACAATACTCACATTTGTCCATTAGTTGTGGTATAAATTGTTTGGTCTCCAGCTTCTCCAACAAATTGAACATAGGTTTGAGGAATTCCTTGAGATTGTGTTGCTTCTGATCCAACACCAACACCAACACCATCTCCATCCCCCACTGAAAGAGCAAAATGGCAAACATCAAGGAGAAGAAAATTAATGACGGATCATTTACCCCACGGTACACTCAAAGAACAAAATAAAGTTGACACATACTTGTAAGTACTCAAGTTCATTCCATAAAAACCTATTTTATTCTTAATAATAATAACTACAATTATAATTAAGGGAGGATATTGTCGAGTACATTCGTACAGTAAAAAATTATGAAAGCATACACAGTTCTTCTCAAAGCAATGAATTATCTAAAGAGAGAAATCTTACCAACAGTGCTTAAAGGTGTGAGGGGCGCATATGAACGTGAGCCATCCTCCTCTAGAAGTGCAGCATGAAACACAATGTCATTTCAAATAGACCCTAACAATAACTATTCATTCTTGAATGACTGATGCAAGTTGTGTTATAGACTACAAAATCAACGAGTACACTGCCTTAATAGTGAATAAGCCAAGAGACAAAACTATAAACGATAGGGCTTTTTAAAAAACATATGTAATAACATCACAAAAGTCCAGAATAACTGAATAACACATGAGAGGGTACATGTTCTGTTTTTACCAACTATTACCAGGGCTACATAAAATATTTTGAATACAATACTAGTTAAACTCAAATTTTGAAAATACTATTCATGGATGCAGCGAGATAGTACTATCTCAGTACCGCCCCACACATGACTGCATCCATGTTTCTTAAGTCACATCATTTGCAGCTGCAGCTTCTCTTGTACATTAATCACAAGGTGACTAATCTATTATAGTCCCTTGAAAAAGAATTAGAAGAAAAAGGAGAGTGGGGGAAGTGTAATTACCTGTCACAGCGATGTAATGAGATCCTACAAGGGCAGACGTTGCCATCACATGTGCGTCTCCCGTCTCGTCGTCGTCGGTGGAGCCAACGACCACGGCGGTCGTCACGGTGCCGTCGCAGGACTCTCCAGAGCTGCTGCCATCCACACTGCCATTCTGGTGAACGAGGCGATGAGCATGAGCATGAGCACCACGAGTCGGACTGCTCGCTGCAGGGTGCAGTACGGTGCAGTGCGGTGCAGTACATACCTGAAGGGCTTGCAGAGCCATGCTGTGGACCCGAGCCCGCGTGCCGCGTAGGGAGATGGGCGGCGAGTCCCCGTCCCGCACCACGTCCGCGCCGCTCGGCCCGGCCCCAGTCAGGTCGAAGGACTGCGTCGACGCCATGTCCTCGTCCACCGCGCTGAAGTCTGCAGACAGAAACCAAACGATTAGGGCCCACTCTCCAAACGGGTCCACGAGAGGGGAGAGGGTGGCGCGGGCGAGCCCGTTACACACAGCTGCTCGGCGGGTCTGCCCACCCGCGGCGGGAAGTTCGCGCGGAAACCATCAACAGCAGCAACGG